TGATGCTGAATTCTATTGGCTAGAATTTTATTGAGAATTTTCACATCAATATTCATGAGAGACATTGGTCTGAAATTTTCTTTTTCTGTGGTGTCTTTGCCCGGTTTTGGTATCAGGGTTATGCTGGCTTCATAGAATGAATTCGGAAGTATCCCTTCTTTTCCTATGTTCTGAAATAGTTTGAGTAGTACTGGTGCAAGCTTTTCTCTGAATGTTCGGTAGAATTCTCCAGTGACGCCAAGGCTGTAAATCTTTACAGAAGCAGACTGCCACATCTTTCTTTCTCAGAACAGCTGGTGGGTTTGAACCACCAACTTTTCGGTTAGCTGTCAAGCACTTAACCACTGAGCCACCAGGGCTCCTTACTACTGATAAGATGTACCAAAAAAAAAAACTGTGGTTTGTTGTAACTTAAATACGTCGTAAGTGGGGAACTACTTGTATTGCTATTTGTTGTAGAGTCCCTGAGTGGTGTAAACAGTTAAGTACTCAATTAATAGCTAAAATGTTGGTAGTTCAAATCTACCCAGAGGCGCCTTGGATGACGGGCCTGGCAATCTGCTTCTGAAATTGATAGCCTTGAAAACCCTGTGAAGGTCAGCTCTACTCTGCACACATGGGGTCGCCACGAATCAGAATTAACACAACAACAACCGCCACCACCAACAGGACTCAGCAAGTCACTTACCCTTTCTACATGTCAATTTCCTCAGCTGTCAAATGGGTATAATAATATGGTCTCAACCTCCTGAGAAGCTTGTTGGGTTTAAGGGGGACAAATGAGAGAGAAGGTGTGAAAAAGCTATGGGGAATCATGTTTTCCACAAAGACAAGGGGTTCTTGTTGAATGGATAAGGCTATAGAAACAAACGGAGCCCTGGTGGTACAGCATTAAAGCACTTGGCTGCTAACTGAAAAGTTGACAGTTCAGACCCATCCAGCAGCTTCAAGGGAGAAAAGACCTGGTGATCTGTTCCCTTAAAGATTACAGCCTAGGAAACCCTATGGGGCAGTTCTGCTCTGTCACGTGGGGTCGCCATGAGTCAGAATTGACTTTACAGCACCCAACAACAACAGGAAAACAAAAACAATCAAAAGTGAGAGAAAGCCAATGCAGAATGAGCTACACTGAAAACAATGGGGTTTTAGAGAGTGAGAATTTGGGCTTGAAAAATAGCATTTTCAAGACCTTAGACACAGCAACATAAAACACTGGTTTTACATTACAGAGCAAGAGAAGGGACAAAAAGAACCCCCTTTACTCATGTTATGTAACCATTATTTGGTAGTTAAACTCTAAAAAATACTAAAATGGAAAGTTCCTAGTTACACTCTATTTCACGCTATAGACATTCACTTAAGGATGCCGTGAGCGCTGTCTGCCCCTTTACATCTCCTTTCTGCCCTTACATGCCTCTCTTTCATCCTGAGGGGATGGGCCTGCCAACCATGATCTGTAAGGCGAGAAGATAAAGCTTTCATGAGGAGTGATTTGACTCCACCACCCAGAACCTTCTACTAAGGTTTGCTTGGACGTGGGTCTCCCCACCTCCCGGTCCCTCTGGGTGAAACGACAATGCTTTAGGGGTCAGGCTCCAAATAATGTCACAGCTGTGTGATCTGAGGTAAGTCACTTCCCTTTCTGGGCCTGGTTTCATCTGGAAAAACAAAAGATTGATCTTCCTCAATGTCGTCAAGAGACTTTCTGAGGAAACTCTAAACACCTGTTGTTGTCAGGTCAACTCTGACTCATGGGGACTTCATGTGTGTCAGAGTAGAACTGTGCTCCACAGGGTTTTCAGTGGCTGCTTTTTCAGAAGTAGATCACCAGGCCTTTCTTCCGAGGCACCTCTGGGTGGACTGGAATCTCTCGCCTTTTGATTAGCAGCTGCAGGGACTCCCGTAGCTTAGTGTAACACCCTGAGCTGTGTCTCAGGGAAACACAGGCAGGATTAAAGCTTACCGTTTCCTTACAAAAGAGGCCAATCACTGGGAGGGGGAGGGGAGAGAAGTACCCATTAGTGGGACCCTCTTCCCCTGCCAAAGGTCACCACTCCCCGCCCAGGGTCCCCTGGTCCTTGGAGTCCTGAGATCAAAGCTCTGCCAGATTGTTAGTGTGAGGAGAGAGATCTGTCCTAAGTGGGCTTCCAGAAACCATGCTTTTACTAGAAAAACAGCCGGAATTGTGATAGACAGGTGCATCAGCTCACCCTGCGAGCTGGCCTGGGCCTTGGATAATATGAACCTTTCGTCTACATGCTCAAAAAACAACAGCGTGCTATGAGCCTCCCAGTGTATCTTGCTGCTGTCCCTCATGCCTGAAGATAGCTGCTTCATTCTCTTCACTTTTCTTGCTGAGTACTGATACAGAAAGTAAGGAGGAAGAGGATTTAAAGGTCTCTCTGATAAACAGACTCTTATCACCTCACTTGCCATGCTGTTCTTTGAGCTGTTTACATTCTGTGGCTTCTCCCTCCTACACCTTTCTCTTAAATGCATTAGAACCATGTCTCTCAAAGATCAGAGCTCCGCTGTTTTGTGCCACCTCAACTTCTACAATGCCAACCATCATGAAGAAAGCCCAGAACCAGGCAAGGTTTCATTCTTGTCCATAAGGTCACTAGGAGTTGTGTCAACCGGACCGCAAGTAACAACAACAACCTCTACACATGATCTCAGGCTCCCTTAGAGCCGTTAGAGAAATGTTCCCACTCCTTCGTTTAACAGATGAGGAAACTGACGATGCAAGGGGGATGCAATGGTTTGCTCAAGACTAAATAATGGCCAAGTTCAGAGCAAGTATCCCATCAAGGTGGGCAAAATGTCTCAATTCCCTTGAGAACCAGACCCTGAGAAACAGTTGGACAGATAAAGTGAGTTTCATAAGCAATTCTGTAAAGAAATTGGACTATGCCTTTAAAAAAGAACGCAATGCAATGGGAGAGGAAAAGGAACACCAGTAGAGTTGGAAACACTACCCCGGGCATTGGTTATGTAAGCCTGGACAAGTGAACTGAGGCCTTGGCTCCCTCCGATGTGTCACTCTTTGCACTCCAGTGATCACCATGAGCTAATATCTGTTGAATTCCAGGTGTTCTTTTGAATACTATTAGAGAAGGGCGGTGAAAATTCTCGAAGGCTGATCAACCTGTTGCAGGCTTCTGTTGGTAGCATCCATTCACAATACTGTCCTCTCCAATGGGTTGGCGAGGTCAGCCAAGGCAGGGGAAATGGAGAGGAAGGTGCTTCAGCCACACAGGAGACCTAGAATCTGCACCTGGTATCCCTGCCTCCATGGTCATGTGTCCAGTCCCGGGCTGCCACAAAGAGGCAATGATATGCCGTTTTCCTTCATAAACAATAGTCTTCATTTGAGTAAATAAAAAGATGTTGGGATTGCCTACCTGCTCTGAGCAGGCCATTTTCTAAAAGCAACTCTGGTGTGGAAGTGTGTCTGATTAGGGACATTGGTGGGGGGAGGGGGCTTTCTGTTGCTTTCTTCAGTCCTTTAATATGGAGAAAGCACCTGTCACCACACCATCAGCTTGAACTGTTGGATCCTGTCTAACAGCCTAAGGAAGTAAATGGATGGAGTCCCTGGAGGGTTTTCAGGTAAGGAAGAAGGAGGAGGTTGCTCTACAGGGGACAACGGAGGTATTACGGCTGTTTGTTGTTGATGATTTTTTTTTAACCTTAATGCAATCTAAAAATGGCTTTTAAGATACAGCGCACGCTCCTTTTTTTGATTAACCTTTCATTGTTCCCTCTCCATGAAGCCATCTTTAGTCATTTGCCTTCATAATTCTTCCCACCTTAGCCCTCGCCTTAGGAATTTCAAACCACATCAATACTGTAGGGAAAAATATTTATTTTCTAAAGTCATTACCTTGACAGGCAAAAAAAAAAGCATTTTGTTTTCCAATTTCATTCAGAAATACATTTAAAAAAATACATGGACCAATATGGCCTGCCCAGACATATATTTAACATGGTAAATATAAAGGAATAAATTGTTTGAATATAAATATCTATAAAAAAATAAGTACATCAAAATTTAATCCAGCCTCTTCCATTAGCCAGTTACATAAAGGAAAATAATTTTATGGCTTTAAAGCATAAGCCGCATTTACTTTTCCATGTCTTTTATAAACCACCATACACCATTGTTTCCAAAGGGCGGAGGAACGAGATCACGTGATTCAATGATCTTTCTTTCAAGGATCAGAGCTACTAGGTTACCTCGAAAATGTTATACCTACTCCTGACGCATTAGACCAGACTTTCATGAGGCTAGGATTTAGTATGGGTTACTGGGAAGGGGGTGGCAGGAGGGGGAAGAGTTTGGGAAGGCAAAAATTAAAGGCAAAAACCAGGTGGTGACATATTTCCGCCAGAGTGCAATACTGGTGAGGTAGACTGATGTTCCTAAAACACATCCCCATTTACAGTAGTAACGGTTTCGTTCAGTTTTACATTTCTATGAATTAAAAAACAAAGTCTTTTTCTTTTTTTTTTTTTCCACTCGAGTATTTGTCCTTCAAGTGTTTTCAATTTGTGCATTCCTTAGAAAATCTTTGCGTGGAACTTTGGACTTGCTCCCTGAAATGCACCAGATGCCTGAGTCAGACACAAACACTCCCTTCCGGGCCTCTTCAGAGACCCCCACCCCGGTGTGGAATCTCGTCGCCTCCCCCTGGGGGATGCCACCCTAATGCACATGTCACTTTGTCTCTCTGCTTTCTCGGAGTCATCCACTGTCATCACTAAACGAGGAGAGACTCAAAGCAGTTACCACTGATGGAAGCAAATGAAGATAGACTCGGGGAACTCTTTAACCTTTCTTGGAATGTTTAGAACAAGAACGTCGGTCCTTGGCCGGCCTGGAACAAGAAACGGTCTAAGCAGGCAGGACGCTCTTGCTCTGACCCCGCCAGGGCGGGGACAGTGTAGCCCTGGCCCCGCGGTTCTCTAATCTTCAGACAGGCCCCGGAGACCTGTCATCAGTGTGCGCGGTTGTCCGTCACTTTCTTCCCTCTGTAGAGCTCAGCTTTCAGCTTTGCCATACGGAAAGATGTTTTGATGCTGTTGCTGATGGTTTCCAACCTATTAAAACAAGACAAGAGAAAACAAATGCTATAAAATAAACAGCACTCCCGGCAAAAGAAACATCTAAAATTAGAGTCTGGCGCAAACCAATCTAAATCTGGTTCCTGAGCTTTAACCACGGAACACAACAGCGTGCTACCCTTTGATAAAACCACTATGAAAATAAAGCCTGGCCCTTATGCTCAGAATGTGAAAAAAAGGGGGAGGAGGGAGGTGGTCATATCTAAGGGGAATTGGGCGTTACATACAATTTTAAAATAAGCTAAAGATGTTCTCTTTTCTTCTGTAGCCCATTCCAACTGCCACCACCATGATAGGCTGTATGGAGGAACTCAGCATAGGTTTCAAACAGTCACGGGCACCTTCTTAATCACAAAAGGCAGGAAGTGATAGAAGGAATCGAAGTTTCCTTAGTTGGACAGGAGGAGCCCTGGTGGCCACACCGGTTAACAGCTTGGCTGCTAACCACAAAGTCGGCAGTTCGAATCCACCAGCCGCTCCTTGGAAACCCTCTGGGGCAGTTCTACTCTGTCCTGTGGGGTGGCTATGAATCAGAACCCACTCAATGGCAATGGGTTTGGTTTTTGGTTTTTGGTAGTTGGAACGAGGGAAAAAGAGAAGAGGCATATAGGTGGACCCAAAGCAAATGTTCCATGGCAATTAAAAATTTTTGTGCAGTCTAATTTTTTCTTTTTGCAGAAGGAAAGAGGAAAGAACCGCTAGTGCTGATTTAGTAGTTGACATGACATAGACTAATAATAGAAAAAAATAATTCCCCAGTGTGGTTTAAATGATCTCGTGTGGTCTAGGGGAAGCGTTACTGGCCCCAGGCCATTCAGGTGGAAACGTGAATGGTAGGTATCAGTCACAGGCAGCCAAAGGCCGCCCCACAATAGGTAGTAAACGGCTCTGAAGGCATTCGTGACCGCCAGCCCTGTGAACACAACACTTTGATCATAGAACTTCTTTCCACTGGATTTCTAGGAAAAGTTTCCACACACCATCATAGGGAAATGTAGAACATGTGACAGGTTTCTTCTGTCAATCTTGTGAATTCCCAAATGTTTAGGGTTTGTAAGGTTCATCACCGTAAAACTACTCATAACAACCCTATGGTGTCGCTTGATCCAGATCCCTCTCTGCCCCCAGCTCGTGACTGACTAAAAAAAATCCTAAACCGAACCCGTTGCCATCAAGTCTACAGGACAGAGTAGAACTGCCCCATAGGGTTTCCAAGGAGCGGCTGGTGGATTCGAACTGCTGACTTTTTGGTTAGCAGCCGAGCTCTTAACCAGTGTGCCACCAGGGACCAGGGCTCCTATGACTGACTAGGACATCAGAAAGCTTGTTGGAATGACGGTGGCTAGCCACCAAATACTTTTCCCTGTTAAAACATAAAATAAAATAAAATAAACCCTCTAAAATGGCGTATTGTAAACCTTACCAACCCTGCTTAAAGACTTCATTTCCCTTTGGCCATCTGAATAACTGCTACTTTGAAGAACTTGGTTATACATGACACTTTAAAGAAAAAAAAGGGCAAAAAAAGCCCTTACCCTGAAATGATTTTTAATTTCTCAGGGACAGTGGTAAGTATATTGACTCAGAGAGGCAAAAATTGGGTATGAACCAATGACAGAAGTATGTCCGGATATATTTTGCTTGGAAAATCCACCTTTCGATTGAGTGGGGTGATGACAGGCATGCTAAGGCCACGAAAGTGGGCAGTGGGCAGCGGTTTACATTCAAGGTCTCTAAGAAAATATTTGAGATGGATTCCTTTGCTCTTTCTAATCTACAAAATATGGAGATTGCCTTTTTTATTGTCTTGAAGCCTTTCCCCCATCAAGGCAAGAAGGCTGAGTGAGTAGGCTTTTAGCCATTGGTGATTGAGTAGTGGTTCTTGTGGGTCTCTTACCTTCTTAGTTTTCTTTTTTCCACCAGCTGCTGATGGATGCACTTCTCTCCAAGCGTGGAACAGTCTTTTCCTTTCTTATGCTTGTTCCAGTCTTTCTCCATAGTGTCTTGGGCCCTGTTACAATACACATAGGAAAAAAAAAATACGTAAGCAATGATAGCTTTGATTTACCTGCATGTCCAATATCTCTCTAAATCTCTCTGAAAGAAGGCAGCATTCGAGTAGGAGCAAGGTTGAGAGGCAGACTGAGAAGCTAAGGTGTTTCTACTCACCTGAGTTCTTTTCCTGCTTGGCAAAAATTCCAGCACTTCTTGTCTCTTTGGCTAGTACATTGGCATCTATTCCCGGGGTCTGCTGCCTTGGTGGGAAATAAATCCTTTAAGGATCGCTTTGACCTAGCAGGGCTTCCGAGTCCATATGGAACAATGTGCCTATTATGAAAAGAGAGAGACAAAAGATATAAGCATAATTAACAGACTTCAAACTGACACTTTCTCTGGGGTACACTCATCCTGTTGGGAACACAGGTGCTCACCACACAGTGCTCAGTAGCGTAACTTAGGAGCGAAGCGTGGCGCGATCAGGGGCACAAGCCCCGAGGGTGTCTATCCAACCAGGAGAAAACCGGTTTTTCAAACTCAGTGCAATTCCATTTCAACTCTTAACAAGGTTCAGTTTCCGCTTGACACCAACAACATTGCTTTTTGTCCAGAATTATGACATCTCTGCTTTGGTGTCTGTTTCAGATTTCCTACCTTGTCTGCTGTTCTATTCAGTTCACAGCTATTTGGTGGGGGGGTGGGGGGCGGCAGTGGGTTGGGAGGCAGAGACTTTAATGTAAAACCACTGCTCACAAGATGGTAAAAATCTTTTTCAATTCAAATCATATATGATAATGTTCAAACTGCATGCGGACATGGTGGGAGTAGACACACCGCCATATTTGTACATTTCTCTTGCAATTTGTTGCTATTGCTGTGTGCCATCAGTTCGATTCCAACTCATAGTGACCCTATAGGACAGGGTAGAACTGCCCCATAGGGTTTCCAAGGCTGTAAATCTTTATGGAAGCAGACTGCCCCATCTTTCTCCCACGGAGCAGCTGGTGGGTTTGAACCACCGACCTTTTGGTTAGCAGCTGATCGCTTAACCACCGCGCCACCAGGGCTCCTATTCTGCAGTTTAGTGATAGCTACGTCTGTAAAAGAATTCTTTGCCAGAAGGCTCTCCAGAAATTGCTAATGTGCCCCTTTGGATCCTCACCTAAGAAGTAAAGCCCTCCCCTTGGAAATATCTCCTTACTGAGTATTAGGCTCATTTTGTTTTTATTTGGTTTGATTTGATTTTGATTAGATTTTAGTCATCCTTTGCCATCACGGGGGTACTGTAGACACAGTAAGTGTGTTGTTGTTTAGATGAGCTAGTTTTCAGGGCAAAAGGATGAGAACTGTTTTCCTTGCGGTGGCAGGTAAACCTACAGAATGTATTTCTTTTTCTGTCTTGAAATGGGCTTTTCTGAAGGGAAAGCAGAGGGAGCAGGGAGACCCAGCTTCCAGTTCTAGCTCTGCCACAAACTCGCTCCTGCACAACTGACCCACATTTGGGGTTTTAGCTTTTCTCTAAGTGAAATGACTGAATTAGAGCTCTGTAATCCCTTCCACCTCTCAACACTGTCCCATGAGAAGTACAAGTTGAACTAACCCACATATGACCTCGGCTACTTATTCCCTAAACGGAGCCTGATCCCACTAAGAGAACTTTCCCTGGAGCCACCCCCCGACCCTTAAAGTTTTTCCTCTGCAATGTGCAGCAGCTTCCCAGCGCCTTCCACTCCTTCCATCCGTCCTGTAATGAGTAGGCTGAGCCCTCTGTTCCTGAGACCAACCTGTCCTGTTATTTTCAGGAACAGAGGGACACTGCAACCTTCCAAATGCCAACCAAAAGCTCCCCAGAAAAGTCACTCTAGTAACTGGTTTCTGAGCTCCTGTGAGCCGAGCTAATGAATGACTGGAGTTATGATGCCCTCTAGAGACTCACTCGGGAGTGTTGATCCAGATGATGTCGAGGTGGCAGAAGTAGACACACTCTTTATCCATCAAGGACGAGCAGGAGCAGCGCTTGGACCGGCGGGGCCGCCAGGGTGCACTGGGCGAGGGGCTGTCCCTTCCGTTCTCAGCACCTGTGCTAAGCTCGGCGCCCAAGACTGCTGGAGAGAGAAAAACAGCAGGTCAACGAGGCAACATTTCAGAGGCTTTGAGACACACCAGATCACAGTATTTACACCAGAGCTATAGAGGCCATGAATGCAGACGAAGTAGACAGCCTACCTTGAGCAAGAAATACAAACAGGAGGAAAAGGGCTGTAAGGTTTTACCTTCTTAACATGGCTTCACCTTTACCCCCACTGGTTTATTTGCCTTCAGGGAGATTATATAAAGGCAGGAGAGACAAATACCTGAGAAGGGACTTATCAACCCCCTTGAAGCTGCCTTTAAGGAAGTTCTTGGAAAGGCTGCCTGTTGGAAATTGGAGTTGGGCTCTCTGCATGGTGCTTAGTAGGACAACACAATCCACAGTGACTTATAATTGGCTGATGACCCAGAATCTAAAAGTAAGTGAATCCTACTATGTAGTCCTGGCTCGGGAGCCACTTGCCCATTTGGCATGCTCTTCTGTTTAGGTGGGCATCGGCCACTTTGCACCTTAGGGTAAGGGGTACCCAGATGATATGTAACTTGAAATTAGGGAAGTGGAGGACAAGGGCTCTGGGGAGACAACAGTGATTTCAGGCAGTAAATTCCACAGAAACCACAGACCAAAGGTTAAGCTAAGTAGCAGCTCAGAGGACCCAGTCAAAGCTCCCTGGGTTCTGAATCCAGACTCCCTGGAGCAGCAGCTCCACGTGGGACCTGCTCCCTCCCCTCACCACCGCAGCCTCTAGTCTTCAGCCCACTCTCTCAGGCTGACAATCCAGCCTCACAGCTTATCTGCCCAATTTTGTACATTTCAAATGATCAGACACATTCCAGGATTTTCATTCCCTTGACATCCTTTCTCTTTAGTCGGGGTCATGAAAAGACAAAAAAAGTGCATTGACCCCAAAAGGGGGAACCAGGCAGAAGCACACATACTATCTAATCTGTGAATAACCACGATTTAACCTAGCTCCCCTCCCAAGACAGGTGAATACAACTGAGAATAGAGTTCACACTGCCTTTGGGTGCCAAAACCCTGCCAAAAGAAACCTAAAGTCAATGACAAATTTTAAAGAAAACAGCTGCTTTCACCGAGAAACCACCTGGGGGGTTTATTCAACAGAGTGTTCTGCAGGTGATTTTACTGCTTGTGTATTGCTTGAATGACTTGGACAAAATTCCTTGGCTTCAAGCTGAAATCTTTAAATATTTTACACATTCACACACTCTTAAAGCAATGTTTGAATAAGATATATTTCTATATATCCTATATACCTGTATGAACATGTATGTTGCAAATATACATTTGGTTAGATTATATCTTGTCTATTCTTCTTGAGTTATTTGAAGTCAAGGAAATACCCTAGGCAATAATAATATTATTATTATATAATAAATGATACGTTAATATGATATGAGCAATTGCATTCAACAAATTTTTAATTTTTCCATGAGAATACCAATAATTGAGCAATAATTCCCAGACACTTGATATCTGAGCTGCAATAATAATAAAGAAGGGGGAAAAACACGCAAGGAAAGCATTAAGGTGGGTAAGAAAGATACTAACATTCAGGAATTTACAAGCCATGGTGCCTACCTGTTCCTGGAGTGCCTTGGAAGGTCACAAACAGTAGATAGCAGATCAGGGGAAAATAATCCATTCTGAAAAAAGGCATCAAAAACCTGCTCTGCAAACTAAACCCAAAGGAGAAGGAACAGCAACAAAAATAACAACTTCAGTTCCCTCAAAGTGCTTCTGGTTGTTCAGATCTCAAAGTCAGCTCGCAGTCTAATGGGGAGAAAAATGAGGTTTCTGCCAAGAGAGAGGGCGGCGGAGCGGTCGGGAGACGCGCGCGGCGGTGGCGTGCGGGGACGGCGCGGAGACCCGGGACTCTCGCGGCTCCCGCTCCGGCGCCGCTGCAGAAGCGCGTCTGACTTGGACAGCTCTCCGCCGGCTTTTTATATTGAACCCCTATAGAGTGGGGGTAAACAGCTCCAACTTTATTCCAGCCCCAGACAATGTTATTGTGTTATTAGTCACCAACAGGCAACGTGCAGCCGGAGATAAGGCCGGACTCTAAAGGAAATCACTGCTAACTTCAGAGGCAGACGCCGTCTGACAATTCAGGGGCAGGGCTAAGAAAAAGAAAATACCCATTAGAGACCTTTGGAAAACCTGCCCGTGCAGTGCTTGAGTCTGCTTCCCCTTTGCAACAGAGTTCAAGAACCAGAAGAGGGACTCCAGAAAAAAGTCATACCATTGGTATGAAAAGTATGAGCTACAGTTTAAATAGATTGTATTGTTGTGTGCGGGAAATTTTTTTTTTTTTTAATTGTTGTTCACTTCATTTTCCTTTTATGTCGCTCCGGTTTCTGGTTTCTTACTCTTTGTCAAACACGAGAACGCTGTCTCTTTTAACCGCACCCTCCCCCCCGACTTCGGGTCAAATTATTGTGGCAGAGGAACATACTTTCTTTTAATTCAAGCCCCCTCCCCCCGAGTCTTTTTTGCTGGAGTTCATTGCGTCCACGGTGGATAAGATCGGTGAGGGATGGGCAAAGAAAAGGAGCTAAATAAAGGGAAAAAAATTACAGCCGTTCAGAAACATACACCATCCTTTCAGTATTCCTGAAGACAAGCCCCCATAAGCTCCTCTCTGCGCCCACCCTTTCCCGGCGGCCCCACTGTTAGTACCCCCATCTGGAATAATGTCAGGAAAGGGATACCAGTGGGAGACGAAGAGCTACAGGGGCTGATGTTTTACTCGGAAAAAAGTAACAGCCTTGGCTTCTAAATGACAGAAGGAAACAACACCTGTGAGGAGGACAAAGGGAGGTTAAGGAATGGCGCCTCACGGAGGCGGGGGCGTGGGGGCTCACAATATTCCATTTACACGGGGACATGTGTCTGGGTCGTTTTTCCTTTGGCTTCTTCGGTTAGGGCAAAGCGGGTGTTCTCGAACAGGGTTACGTGAATATGCAAGGCTGGTGGTGTTGGGAAGGAGGAAATGCCCGTGCTGAATAAGGGGATCAGATAATACCACTCATTTAATAATGCGTTTACATTTTCAAAGCAATTTCCTGTCTGTTTAACCTTGGAATACAGGAGTCACAGGGCAGTTACTGGAGAGAAAAACATGCTGAAAAATGTATGAAGTGCACCATAAATGCATGACATTGTTTTTGTTTGTTTTCAGTTAGTCCCACTTTTCAGACGAGAAAACTGAGGCTTCCAGAATTTTACGTGCTGCACCAAAGTTCTCATCTCGCGTTGAGTAAGACTCGGTGTCAGGAATTCAGGCCACGTTTATCCAGAGTCCTATAGGATAAATTTAGAGCGTCTTCCATCTGCAGGAAAAAGATAAGCCTTCACCTAAGGCCACCATCAAATAGACACTTCTTCCTCACCTTCTTTGACTCTTATTTTTTCAGAGGGTGGGATTCCAACGTGGACCCATTTTTCAGACTTGGCAACAGAGGGGGGGGATCTGGCAGAACCATTCCCACCATCCTTCTCCTCTGCATGCGAAGGGATAGGTTTTATCCCAACACTGATGCTGTGGACCTAGACACACTTGGGCCCCCTTGAACCTCCCTGATATTCCGTGGAGGGGACGGTAACAGTGGCACTGTCATCCCACAGTGGGATCTGTCCCCTAAACAGCCCCTGCTGCAAGAGCCAGGGGTGGGGTCCAAACTCCGGGAACCCTTCCTGCCACATCCACACGCAGAGGTGACTCCACCCAACCCCTAGGGCCCTCTGCCTCCTCCCCCTCAGTGCCTTTACCTCAGCCCGGCCCTGAGGCCCAGGGAGGGCACAGCTCCCCCTAGGACCAGGCGGCGCCGAGCAGGAAGACAGCTGTGCCCGCCTCAGCTGCGGCCAGTCGCCCGAACTCCCTCCCTGCAGCAGACCACAGGGAGAGGAGAGGAGAATGGATGTCACAGTCCCAGGAGCCAAGCTTTGCCCCAGAGGGGAGAGGTGGCCTGGACAATGTGTCTTGGCAGGAAGCTCCCCCGTCCTTTTTTTTTTTTTTTTAACCTCCTGGCAACTTTGACAAAACACTGGCCATAGCCAGGGCCAACCTGTCCTCAGCTCCTTCCCGGAAACGATTGCCTCCGGTCCAGGTCACCTGGGCAAGGACCCCCGCCACCTTGGTGAGGCTGCCCCTGCAGGTGCCCACATCACCCAACCGGCAGCTGGAGAAGAAGTGAAGCAAAATGAAACTGCCCAGGGGCCTTCCCACCTCCTCCCTCCCCTTCTCTCTGGCTGTGTCATCTAGCGAGTGTAGTTGAATGATAAATACAGCTAGGGGGCAGCGACGTCTCCTTAGCCCCCCTCCCTTGCCTTTTGGGGCTCTGTTAAAATAAATGCACAGGGTTTCAGATCTGGGAGGGTCCCATCATTCCAAGCACCATCTCACCTCCACCTCTTTGCATCCTGCATTTCCAAGACTTGTGTGCGTATCTGCATGTATTCCCATTTTTCTGTCTTTGTGCGTCTGTGTGTGTGTTGGGTGGGTGGGGGGCGTTGATATCTGCCTTCTTAGTCCACTTGTACTCTTGCAACAGCCCCTTTTCCTTCTCTTGGAGGAAAACGAAGCCCCCTCAAGCCCACAGAGGCAGCTGAAGCAGGGACAGGCGGCTGCCCAGCAAGAAATTTTCCAAAGAATTGAGGCGGGGGGTTTGGCAGAACCCCAACCAACCAGTTTTACAAGCTAGATGCTCCCCCCTTCTCCACTTAAGATATTACTAGGGATGGAGGCAGAAGACCAGGAGGTTATAAGAGCCAGACAAAGGCATAGACGTATAGGTCCCCTCAAGGAACTGCGAGGAGAAAGGCTTCTTGCAGGCCATAGTCACTTTCAGAGAGGAAAGGGAAGTGCATCGAGAGACGAGGGAAAAAAGATGGCTTTGTTCCCCGGTAGGACAGTTTGCTGGTCTTGCTTTTGATGTTGCACTTGGCTAATGGAAACTGTTTGATAAGGTTATTTTTCTGTGTATTTCTTTCTGTAACTCTTGCTGTGTATTAATAGACAGCTATAAATAAAACGCCCTGGGCCCCAAATGCAGATACCGCACAGTAGCAAAATGTACCATTTTTAGCACCCTCAGCTTTGCTCTTTCTCAACTTTTGCGTAATAAAATTTGCAACTCTGCCAAGCCAGTAAATTTGATGTGAGATGTTGCGTTTAGCTCAGTGGAAGGACAGCAGACAGCCGTGAGGTTGCCTGACAACAGCCCAAAGAACAGGGACCTAGTTTGTGGCAGGCAAGGTGAAGCCAGCCACGCAACTTAGAACTGGTTCTGTCATACATCGTGGACTGTTTTATATGTCTACTTTGCGTAGACCTGTTGAGATTGTGCGCCACATTCATCACACCCATGACACATTACACACCCCCAGGAGTCATGCACGAACATAGCTTCTCCTACAGTCCAAAAAATAATGGTTGATTTAGCACAGGAAGTATGATCATGGTCAGGATAGATTCATCCCGTGCATTTGAAAAACATATAACGTAGGTAACTTTATTTGCTTCACACTTTCATCCGTAGTACGATAACAGGTAGCAAGTGTTTAGTTTAAAAGGACATGTCTAAACTCAACAACAAAAACGACTCCTTTAAAAAAAATGGGCAAAGGGCTTGAATAGACATTTCTCCAAATGAGATATACAAATGGCTAATAAGCACATGAAAAGATGCTCAAGGTCATTAGTCATTAGGGAAATGCACATTGAAACCACAATAAGATACAATCTCACACCCACTAGGATGGCTATTAGCAGAAAAATGGAAACTACCAAGTGTTGAAGAGGATATGGAGAAATTGGATTCCTTGTGCATTGCTGGTACGGTTGTGAAATGGTGCAGTCACTGTGGAAAACAGTTTGGTGGTTCCTCAAAAAGTTAAAAATAGAATCACCATGTTGTTGCGTGCCATCGAGTCTGTTCCGCCTCAGAGTGACCCTACAGGACAGAGTAGAACTGTCCCATAGGGTTTCCTAGGCTGCAATCTTTTCAGGAGCTGATCACCAGGTCTTTTTTCCCACAGGATCACTGGTGAGTTTGAACTGCGGACCTTTAGGTTAGCAGCTGAGTGCTTAACCATTGCACCCCCAGGGCTCTTTATGTGACCCAGCAATTCCATTCTTAGGTATCTGCCCAAGAGACTTAAAAACAGGGACTCAGACAGAGTCTTGTATACGAATGATCGTTGCATCATTATTTACGATAGCCAAAACGTAGAAACAATCCAATTGTCCATCAACAGGTGAATGGATAAGCCAAATGTGGTGTATCCGTGCAATGGAATATCACTCAGCCATAAAGAGAAATGAAATTCTAATACGTGCCAAGACGTGGATGATCCTTGAAAATGTTATGCTGAGAGAAACAGACAAAAGGACAAATACTGTAGGGTCCCACCTATATGAAATACCTAGCATAGCAAACTCGTAGAGACGAAAATGTGTTTGTGGGGCTGCGGTGGTGGGGAGGGATTGGGAGTCACAGCTGAAGGGGTGCTGAGTGTTTGGGACGATGTAAAACTTTCGGACATGAGAAGTAGTGATGGTAACACAACACGGTGCGTGTAATTAATGTCACTGAAAAACGGTGAAGATGGTAAACACTTTTTTGTTATATATGTTCCGCCACAATAAAATCAAACACGTCTAATTCTTTAACCTAGCCTTTCCCAAACCTCAGTCATTCATAAACCGTCCCAATTTTTGCCATATTTGTGTGGCACCTGTACCTTTTTTTAAAAATATTTTCCTTTCGGCTGACTCATTTTATTTTACTTGAATAATTTCAAGGAAACAGTGTCTCACTACTATCCTTAGCAATAACATACATGAAATTACAGTTT